TATGAAACATCATCTTATGTTAACCCTTAAAGACCTAGACCATTTTTTAACCACCTGCACCGCCTGTCCTTTTCTTTGTTTTTCTAACCCATTATAGCAGTCAGCATCAAGTGTCATATATCATTTTTAACAGGAGAACTTGAAGTTTCAATCTATCTCATTTAAATAATCCAATTTTACATTCATTTTGTCTTAGAATGGATGAATTTACCAGATTTAAGAAAAACGGCAGCATATTTTTTGTGATTTTTTTTACTCAACTCAAACAAATCCTCCTGAAGTTTGGATTTTTTCCTTTAGAAAGCTGTACTTGGATATTCTACATTTCCAGATGTAATTTTGACTACATGTAACAATCCCTAAGCAAGTTATAGCCATTTATTACAACATTATTATAGGCGATTTTCAGTGAAAAGCTGGTGTTTTTTATTTACTGACAATTTAGATGTGTCCAAAAAAGTTTAGGAAGTAAAATAAATAGAAACATTGTAATAGAACACTGAAGCAAAAGAAACATTATATGTATTAAAACACACACACACACACACACACACACATAGCCTATATGAACTACTTTCACTTTACCTCAGTTCAAATTTCCAAAGAATGATGCTAGTTGTTCGTGTAAAAGACCAAGAACTATGTTTATTGGTTGAGTAGATGATAGTTTCAACCAATCTGGGCATGAGGGTGTGCGTTCCAGGCAGGTTTTTGAGCACGTAAATCACAACTTCAAACCACGACTCACGACTTTGTAGCATTCCAGGCCAGTCACGCCAAACTACCTGAGCGCAATATACATACTTATTTTTTCAGACACATAACATTGTAATACATAATCGTGTGTGTATATACATACTTATTGTTTCAGACACATAACATTGTAATACATAATCTTGTGTGTATTATCATTATTATTATATTATTATTAATTTGACTGCAACGTTATATTGTCCTAAAGTGTATTCTCACTGTGTACCGCCTGCAGAAACACTGCATCCGTAGGGGCTGCCATTGTTGTTTTGTATGGTTTTGCGGGCTATGTGACGTCAGAACTCGTAACTGGGAGTACATCGATCTAGTACGAGTTCACGGGTGGGAAGTCACGGGTTTGACTGCCGTTCCAGTGCACTTTCACGGGTATAAGGTTGGAAAAACACGGGTTACAGGTTGCCTGGAACGCGGCATAAGCATCAACAGTCATTCATGATTGGCTCAGAGGAACAAACCGCACGGGTTTCTTTGACGAATCAATGCTGATCAAAACTTGATGACGCGATCACATTCACTACGGAGCTTCTGAATGTCCAAACGCGATTAACCCGATATCACAGAAAAGCCGCGAATCTCCTCTTTATGGAACTTTTTAAAGCATACGGATTGGAGTAGCGGTTCAAAAGTTCTTTAACATTTAAGAACAACAGTTATTTTTAGCCGGTATTTAAATTATGATTATGCCATTTTTAGCCAAAATCACAAAACCTGTGCCGTTTTCTGGGACTTCGCTTCAGCAGAGCGGCAGTAGCTCATTAGCAATTCGCCTCTGCGTTGTGGGCGGAGCCGTTGGCACGGAGACGACCCTCCCCCTGCCCGTTGCTGAGAGCTCTGTCTCTCCCGCTAGCTACACCCCCAATACCGGTGGGGCAACAGTATTATATACACGTTAATTATTATTATCCGAAGTTAATCAAAGTTATCACCGATCACCGATCATTATTTCACTCCAAGACGTCGCGTGTGGAGACGCCCAGTGGAGTTACTACGTCACAACTCCAGTCTTATTTTAGCGTCTGCTACTGATTCACTGCCATTTGAATGTAGAAATACTCAGAAATACAACTTTGAGCTTATTTTTCTCAAGATATGTCCTCTAACATCAGAAAAATGCCACAAGAACATGTTAACACCTAGAAAAACATTATTTTCATCGGAGTGGGTCTTTAAGGGTTAATGAGTATTTTTCACATACTGTTTGAATTTGTCTACATTTGGTTGGCACACTAAAGTAAACATGAAGGTATGGAAGATTTTCAAACTATAGATATTCATAATAAAACATGATAGTCAAAATGAGATATTAAAGTCATAATTCTGACACTTTAATGTCATAATTAACTTTTTATCATAATTTCGACCTTTTAATGTCATAATTAACTTTTTAAAATGATTTCAACTTTTTATATATGATATTAATAAGTCAAAATTATTACTTTAAGTTAATAATTTTTACTTTTTAATATCATAATTAACTTTTTATAATGATTTCAACTTTTTATCTCATTCCTCAGAGATTATCTTTCATAGGTAATCATAAATGACATAAAAAGGACTTCCATATCAAGGCAACTACATGCAAATGCATTTTCAAACCAAAACAAGTATTGAGAAAGCTCACCAACGATTAGCTACATACAATGTCCTGTGTTTATGCCAGCAATGTTCTTTTAGTTTACACTCCTGTTGATTTCTTTGCCTGCTTAGTTAGGTTGGTTGAGTTAGGTATACAGTAGGTTGATTTCAGCATGTCAGTTCTTAAAATCTCCTATGAGGCGCTACGTCATATCATTACGCCTGCTGCTCTCATAGTACGGCAGTAAAGTTTCTTGATTATTACGCAGGAATGAGAGTATAGTTCCTAGCCATATCAGCCTAGAAAATCGCAACTTTACATTTTCCGTCGGTCTTAGTGCACGATGTAACTACAGAAGAGTCAAGTTTTAAATAGGAAAAATATCGAAACTCTTTGGTCATTTTTTTTTTTTTTTTTTAGAAATGCTAATGGTCTTGTCCACTTCAATGAAGGTGATGGAAAATGAATGAAATTTAGACAATACAGAATATTAAATGTTTTATTCAATATCTGCTCCACTCCTTGTCTCATATTAAGAGATTGTTTAGCACAAATCACCTGGTTTACATTAGACAACAAAGTAATTTGACAATGCTGGATTTATGATTGACAATGAAAAAGAAACAAAACCACAACAAAAACAACATGCATTTAGAGTCATCATATCACACGGTTCATTTCTCAAGTCATTCAGTTGGCAGTGTAACACAAAGCAAATTAATGGTTGAACAATCAGAATTTCACCAATTCTGGATTAAATAAACACTTCATTATTTAGAACTTAAAATCTTTTATAAGCCAACACTGGTTTGAATGACTTTTCTATGGTAAAAACAAAAACAAAAACCAATTAAACGGCATACTGAAGCCATCCATTTCAACATGGTACATGCACTTTGGCCACATGTCACACATTCACAGATCTTATCCCACTGTCAGTTTCATATGAAAGACAGAGTATAAAACCATCATCAATCAGGCTGTTACTAGGCGGAATAATAAAATAGTGTTTTATCCTGCAGGGTTATTAACGTGCAGGTCACTGAAGTGCTGTGTTTAGAAGAACTGTGTGGCTGGGCATCATTTTAAAGTGCTTCTGAATTTCCTTCCAGTTTTAAACTGAGGACTGCCACTTATTGTACATTCAAAGACTTAAGTCCTTTTACAGGCCCGTCTCACCTATCATTCAGTCTACCTGTCACAAATACTTGGGTGTACCTTCAGTTTCTTTTTGGTTCTTGCTCCAAAACATTTACAACACTTCTGTCTTTTTAGTGAGAGACTTGATGATCCACCCTTTGGCTAGATAGAGGAAGCACTGAGTGAGGAAGCAAACTCACTCCTTCTGTTACCAAACAAACCACTTTTATGGTTTAAACCACACAAATAGGATAGGTGACAGATGAGCGTGTTGTTGTACAGTGTACAACAATAATATATGTTATTTAAATGTACATATTACCCCATCTAAACACACTTACATCATTATTTTCATGTGTAATATTGTAAACATTCAGTCTGTATGAGTGAATCTTTTCTGTAAAGGAAGACAATCTGACTTTCCTTAATATTAGGATGGTTTCCAAAGCCTAGCAGTGATTCTCTATGAATTTTTTTTTTTAAATCAGAGCCTGAGCTCATGGTTAACAATTTAATTTAGTTAACCAAACGCACACTGGGGCCATTCACACACATGTTCTTGCATACATCTGCACCAGTTTTAATTGTCTTGCTATGTAAACACGCACTACACAGACATCTCTGACCACAACTGCTGCGTTTTGTAAGTTAAAAACAGGTAAACTATTAAAACACCAAAAGCACATTCTGTGTGAACAGCCCTTAAGTCGTGACAAAACTTGAGCAGTGTTTTGTCAAACGAGCAACCTGATCGAAACACTTCATTTCAAGCTAGTCTCTCCTCTATTTCTTCATTTCTCTTGAATCTGTTTGCTAGAACAATGGATGCTACGGAGAAGAAAAAGGAAATCTTCAGTAATTAATAATTTAGCAAAATTATCCAATTAAAACGTTAGGAAGTGTGCTTCTGGATTGATTTGAAGGATTGTTGTAATGTGAAAGGCAGAACTGAACTCCCACATTCATAGCTTCTATAAAAACATACTACCCCAGGTCAAGCAAAACATCCGGACAGACAACATTGTGGGTTAACACATTATGTAAGTGTACATTGTGGATGTATGGATGCATGTGTATGAGTACATTACATGTGTATGTATGTCGATATACATGTGTGTGTGTGTGTGTGTGTGTGTGTGGAAGAAAGGCACTATAAAACACTGAAGCTGTACAGGTTCCAGCTATCAGGAAGGTACAAATCTAAAAAAGATATTCTATTTGGATGACACTTTTTGTAAAATAACCCTGCAAAATATTTAGAAAAAATTCTTGCTCCAGATTTATTAAAATTATTACAAAAAGATGCTTTTTAAAATGAAAATCTGTTTCTATAAGTGTTCCAGTTTATTCAATACAGTTTTGGCAGGTAAATTAACCTTAAATTACATATTCTGCATGGCCAAGTCCATCGAGAAGACAGCAGGAAGGCTCAGTTTTCTATGACACCATGGCCTGGCAATTTGTATCCATAAAGAGCAGCAAATAGAATCCAGTTGGTAGATGCTCTTCTAACCTGCTAGGGACATTGAAATGCTTCAAATACTACAAAATGATTGGTGTATATGCGTCACAGTGCTCAACCAGTTTTGCAGGGCTTGATGGGAAGAGCAATTTCTCTTTTAGAGTCTCACAGAGCTCCAGCCAATCAGGAGTCACGGGTCACGACTCACGGGAGTCCAGCTTACTGTACTTAACCCGGGTGCTCGTCATTGTCCGCAACAAGAATGGTAGCTGGTAGTTTCGAGGCACAATACCACGGACGTTACTCTCAAAGTACTGGAATGGGCCGAACCACCACACACGAGAGAACAGGTTTCCAGTGGAATTTTCCTTTAGAGCCTATAGGACAGCGAGAGAGATTATGTTAGATTTTGAAATACCACTGTTTTCCAGTTCTTCAGAAATTGATCAGATGCAGATGAAGGAAGAAAGATACCCATCAATTACAGCAACATTCATTTTTCAGCTGCACATCCGCAGAATCCAAATACTGCCTTGATCAATATAATCAAAGACCATCTCTGTACATATATCACAGAATTTTTTTCATAATGTCCTGAAAAATGTCTATTATGTGCAGTGTTGGGGGTTACATTACAAGTAATGCAAGTTAAGTAATCTGATTACTTTTCCCCCCAAGTAACTAGTGAAGTAATATATTACTTTTTAATTTATAACAAAACATCGGAGTTACTTTTTCAAATAAGTAATGCAAGTTTTCTTCTGCCTCTCCTGCCCACGTTGAGATAAATCGTTAGCAAAGGTGTTGTGTAAACATGATGACTAAATTTGAGTATGCATTTACTCATCTCACTTGCACAAAACAGATTCAGTATTCCTCAAAAAGAATAAAAACAATGAAATGCAAACTCAGAATAAATACACAAACCTGCAATAATTAAATATGTAAACACAAATATACTTTATGTATTTAATCTCACTTTACTAACCAATGTATTTGCTGCTGACCTTTGATGATCCAATTCAACCATACAAATAAGCAAAATTGACATGAGTTACACATCACATTTGTGTGTTTGTAATTTATTGCTGAAGTAAGAGAATGGCAGCACAACTGAAAGATTTGTTTGAGCGGCGCCCTCTACTGTACAGCCGTGAATTTGCATTTCCTTCAGCCTGAGGCTTTTTAATTTCACTTTTGTTGTGAAAGAGCCTTTACATTTGCCAAAAATAGAACTTTTGTTTGTTGTTATAAAAAAAAAAAAAAAAGCAAGCAAGCAAGCCCGGGTCAGAATCATAACAATTTTTGATTTTGATGGCTGCAACACAAAAGTTAGGACAGAGGCATGTTTATAACTGTCACCTTTTCTTTTTAATAGTTTGGGAATTAAGGATACTAATTTTTGCAAGTGGATTTTTTGCCCAATCTTGCCTGATACAAGACAACTATGCAGTAGTTGTCTGACTCTTCTTTTCATGATGGGCCATATATTTTCAATAAAAGACATATCTGGACTGCAGGAAGGCCAGTCAAGCACATCCCTTCTATGGCGTAGAGTGTCTAGAAACCAGTCTGTTGTAGTACGTGCTGATTGAGGCCTGGCATTGACTTGGTTGCCAGGAAAGATGTAATCTTGATGCCATTAAAGTCCCCATGAATTCAAAATTGACCATACTTTGTTTGCCTAAATTGATCGTTTTGTGGTGAACAATTCATCCATGCAAGTCAATCCATACAAAAAATTTTTTTGGCTTCGTAATCTTTAATCAAAATCGGAAATTTCCCCTCCCCTCTGCGTTGGAGGACCTTGCCTGATGACGTAGGTTTCACGGTTTGGGCGTCTTCTTAACATCCGTAATCACGCCCCTCCAACTGACAGTAGACAGGCTGAATGAAAACACCTACTTTTCTAGATCCAATCAGGTGCTAGTTGGGGAAAAAGCCACGCCCACCATTTTGCCTCATTTAGTATTCCGTTTCTCTCGGAAATACGTCACAACACTGGAGAAAAGTCGTTTGCAACTTCCGGTTCACGGGGACTTTAAATGTCTCTGTACAATTCCAATATACGTATTCATGTCAGTGGTACCTTCACACACAGGCAAGTCACCCATAGCATTTGAACTGATCCACCCCCATACCATGACAGATGTTTGCTTTTGTGCAACTGATGAAAGTCTGGATGGTCCCTTTCGTTTTTGGGACTGAAAACTCAATGTCTGATTTTCCCAAAAAACAAGCTGAAACCTTGCACACATGACATTTCCACTGTATTCTAGACCATCTGAGATGAGATCGGGCCCAGAGAACTCAGAGAACCCTGAAAAGGTGTATAGCTCTCTACTTGCATAGCAGAGATTTGAGATGCATTTCTTGATGCAGCGTCAAGACTGTTAAGTGACAGTGGTTTTCCAAAGTACTCCTGAGCCCATGTGGCTATATTTAACACAGTAACATGATGTTTTCTCATGCAATGCCATCTGAGGGCTCGAAGGTCACACACATTCAACATGTGTTGAATATGTGCCTTGCCCTACACAGACTGAGATTTCTCTGGATTCCCTGAATCTTTTTACAATATTGTGTATGGTAGAAGGTGAAAGATTCTTTGCAATCTTGCATCGAGAAATTAGATTTTGTGAATTGTTTGACAATTCTCTCATGATATTTGACACAAAGTGATGAGCAATGAGCCAACTTTGCTTGCAAATACTGAGATACTCCTTTTACACTCAAACACGATACCCTCACCCAGGGTGCGATTTGCGGGGGGGGGGGATTTCCCCCAAAGAATTCCCCCTTTCTGGTCAAAGTATCCCTGCCTCTGCTTAATTATTTTTATCCCCGGTGGGGATAAATTTATCCCCCCCTCAAAGTGATCAGTGCTACTACACTAGTGGCGAGACGGATCACAAAACTTATCACGGGTCCGTGGTTTGATTAAAGTCAATTTTATTTTAAAATGCGCTCCTTCGGCTGGCTCTGGTATAGCGGCCGCAGCCTCTCTGTAATCAATCACCTCTCTGCAGACTTGCTCAATGTCCCGCCCACGGCGCTATCTGATTGGTTACTCCTCACGAGTAATAGCCTATCAACACTTGCGAGACTGAGGTTTTTAGCGCGGCGCGGTAGACGCGAATTGGCACAGATAATGCATCTGTCTTTTCTATCATTTCACTGTAGCTCAGCATCGCGATGTAACGTTAACGTTGTTACTTTAACAGCAGTACAACTGTTTCTACTGTGATGGTTTAACTTTGCAATCAATCCATGGTTCAGCAGACTGATAGAAGTAGCCTAGCCTAAACTAAGTAAAGCGCTGTAATGTGAACTGTCAGTGCGATAGAACAATCAAATCCGAAATGGACCACCCAATGGAAAGCTGCGGATTTTCCCACAGGAAAGCAGAAACAGACTGTTTTCCTAGTATGATGCAAAGGCCTACACTATACCTATTTATGTTTAAGTTGACACTATGTTGTGCCATTTAATTTTGCCATTCATAAATAAGTGTTTTGACATGTCAAGCCGAGTGGCACTATCCATGGTAGCTACTGGGAGGGGGATTTAATTATTGCGTGTTTTTTCGTTGTGCGTGATCACAGTTCATATTAGAGTAAAAATATTGCGTTAGGCTACTTCATGAGTTAATAAGAAAAAATATTTTACAATTCCTGCAAATGCAGTGATGAAGTTCATGTTCTCATGATTTATTTTTATGAATAAAACTTTTTCAAAACATCCGCCCCTCTGTTTTTTTCAGAAATCGCACCCTGCCCTCACCTATTACCAATTCACCTACTTATTGTGGACTGTTTCAAAAGAGTTTAACTATATTCTATAAGCTTTTCACTTTTATTTAGCCTCTGTCCCAACTTTTTTGGAGTGTATAGCAGCCATCAAAACTTGTTTATATTTATAAAATACAATTAAGTTGTTCAGTAAACACATTGGACATTTTTTCTTTGTACTTTTGTCAGGTAAATACAGGGTCTCTGCAGGTTTTACAAAGTCAAATTTAAGACTTTTTAAGACCTTTTTTAAGACCATTATGAATGAAATTTAAGACCTATATCGCGACAAAAAAAAACGTACAAAGGAAACGCAGAGTCTCAAAATTACTTGCCAAGTAATTTAATTTATTCAAACTGAACATAGTACTTTCGTCGAACATCAGCACGAACGGTCCCGTGGTTTTGGAAATTAGTTCTGTTTTTATAAAATCCGCTATTCCAAAGCACGTAATGTAGGCTGTTTTATCTTTCCCGCACCTGAAGGATTTAGCGATGTCAAAGCCCGGAAACATCGTTTGAAACAATTCCCAGATTTCCTCATTTCCACTGTAGGACTAGTGTCTTGTCACCGTGTGGAGAACCCAGATCACCTCCGCTTTTAGTGTTGGCTCTGATCCAAAGGCAAACACAGAGGTTGATTGCGGGAGTTGCGGAGCTAATGTGTGGGCCTCGCCTAGGCAGTGTAGAAGTAACGTTAGTGCTGGAGCCGCCAGATACTTGCAAGCAGGGGCGTAGCAAGCTTTTTAAAAGTGCGGGGGATGGATGTGATCAGGGCCCTGGTTAAGAATTCAGAGGGCACAATGTAATGTTGGCCCCTCCTTAGGCAGGACAAATGTAGTTTGTCCAAGGACATTTAAATTTGGCATTAACATTATGCTGGGGTAAAGTTCCTAAATGATCGTTCTTTCTCATTGGATTTTGTAAAACTATGTTGTGTGGACCTCGGCCACTCTAGGGGGGTTTGGGGGCATGCTCCCCCGAAAGAAAATTTTGTACATTTTAAGGTTAAATGCATCAATCTGGTGCACTCTGAGAGCTCAAAATTAAGAGCTTCAACTGGCTTCGACCCATGAACTGTGCACATTGAACAAAGAAAAAGCATTGACTTGTACCTAAAGAGGGTTCAAACTTATTTTTAGTTATGATATAGAGTCTCAGTCTACATTACATTATCACTGGTGTTTTAGAATGCCAAACATTATTATAATAATATAATAATGATTTATATAATTATTCCTATGATGGAAAATCCATATAGCCTAAATGTATGCTAGCCTACTGTAGAAATGAAAATGAATATTTCAAAGTAAATTTTATATTACGCTATAGAATAGGAAAATTACAATACTTTTGTCCTAATTTCTTCACTTGCAAGAAATAAACCCTTGAGTTTTATTTTGGAGAAAACACCAGATCACCATGCTGAATGATCGCGTGAGCAAAGTGCGCACTTTTCTTTAAATCACGCAGCACAAACAGAATGCCTACTTAAATAAAGTATTGTGCTGTTTAGTCTAAAAAACGAAATCTAATACCAAAAACACTCGACATGTCAACAAAACATAAACATAACATCTTCCCAATCCCAAACACATATCAAGCTTATTTAAAAACCTCGCAAGCATAAACACTCATTCAAAGTACCTGGAAAAGGGAGATGTAAATAACCATAACCATAAGTTCCCGCCTCCTCAGCACGAGTGACTGAAAAATCACACCAAGAGAGGCGGGACTTAAGGCAGAACAGCCAATCATCAGCCGGTCACACTCAGAGCCGGTGTCATGTTTGAGAGGGAGGGGGAGAGGAGGACGAGCCGCAGCGAGCGCACACACAGAGCGGCCAGAGAAACGGAGGATCGACTGTAGTGAGGCGTTTGTGCAAAACTGCGGAAAAACTGCAGAAAAAGAGCGGGTGTTGAACCCTCTCACCGGGAAAAGTGTGGGTGTTAAAACACCCACATCCCCCACGGGTGCGACGCCCCTGCTTGCAAGAACTGGCTGATGGCTGTCGTTTGCTGGAGACCCTTCACAGCAGTAAGCGCTAGATGTTTATCACTTTTTGCATGTGACTCCAGCGCCCGTACACCCAACGTTCCCAATTTAATAGCTTTCTTGCATAAGAAGCAGTAGGCTTCAAATATGTTGTTTGCAACTGGCTTTAACCAAGCATGAAATTCAGATTTTTCAAGCCAAGTATCGCTAAACTTGCACTTCCCCATAACGTTAGCTGAATACAATACGTTTTACGTCTGTCTGTGGTATCTGAGACATGCTCCAATAACACGAAAGCTCAAAGCTGATTGGCTGTTGCATGTTGGTCTATTTTGTAGTCGTAATACAGCGAATTATATTTGGACTAGCAAACTAATGAACTACAACACCACGGAATAAATAAAAAAAACATTCCAAAGTGCTGCGGGAGCATTTCAATGAGATTTACTTGGACGTAGGAAAATTAAGACCTGTTTAAAATGATTTAAGACCTAGAACACAATACTTCAGCAAATGTAAGACTTTTTAAGGCCTTAAATTGTGATTTTGAAATTTTAGACTTTTTAAGACCCCGCGGAAACCCTGGGTAAATAAAGTTGAAAGAGAATTAACAAATCATAGATTCTTGATTTCATTGCATTTTACAAAATGTCCCAACTTGACTTGGGGTTGTATTTTTATTAATTACTTAGTCCCTTATTTTAAAGGTTCTCTAAGCGATGTCGGGTGACGTCACTTTCTGTTGACGTTTAAAGTATTGTCAAACAAAACGGAGGCTAGCTAGACCCTCCCTCCTCCTCATCCGCACACTAACCCCCCAAACCCCGCCCCCAAGTCCTACTTGTCGGTGATTGGCTGGAACTGTTTGTCACGTTTCGTGGAGCGGGTTAGCCCAGTTTGTTTTTGTTGCTGTTTGTGGAGCCTGGGCTGTCTACAGAGATCGCGTTTTTTTACAGTGTGTTCAGGGGACAGGCAGCCAGCGGATAGTGAGGAGATGTTTGCTGTATGTGACAAAAAATGTTTTGGCCTAAAAAACGCGTGACATCGCTTAGAGCACCTTTAATACTAATGTTAATTGTTATTGTTATATTCAGGTCCTCTGAATTTTTTTCCAGGGTTAATATATTAATACATAAATATATATATATGTAGAATAATATATATATATGGAGTGCATAATACATCAAATAAAAGCATTAAAACTATGAGAACATGATTTCATATTTGAGAACATGATTTTTCAAAAATATTATTTGAAAAATTAAGTGAGCACAAGATGCTTAAATCTGGTAAATCAGCAGAGATTTCTCAGTTTCAACTCCAAATTTACCTGCTGATTGGCCATTGTATGGTACCACCAGAAGAGGCGTGTGGTCATGAAGTAGGCCACCACCACGTCGATGGTGTAGTGGTCATGAGCCAACAGGATGCAGAAGATACCGACAGCACTCAGGCACCAGCAGAGCCAGTGGTACAACCAGAACCTCCGTGGAGAATCTGTCATCCATAAAACATTTGTTAATTCTGTGTATTGGTTTCACAGTGTAGGCAGAAGTAACAAACTCACAGATGTTTCATTGGTTTTATGTATGCTAGATGGTGTTATTGCTCTTCATGTCCACTAGATGGAGTTATCAACAAATCACAAAAACAACAGTTTTTCCATGATTGTTTATTAATATGTGTACTCACACTCTTTAATGAAGAGGTATGTTAGTGTCAGCATTACTGTGTGCCCACTGTACAGGTAATCTCCACACAATGAGTGAGAGCCAGTGATTGACAGGCCACCACCTGCCATCATTTTCATTACCCGCCGTGACTGGGCCTCCCAGTCACCAAAGAGCTAGAACACACACACAAACAAACACATAAGCATATACAAGCACAAAAACATGTATAGATAGACAAACAACTATTTTCTTGACTATATCTTCGTTCTCTCTCACAAACTTTGATTTTAAGGACTAGTTCACAAGTATGAACCCATAAACCAGACAGTGACCAAAAGTTACTTTGCTAGAAACATAAAAATGGTTGTGTTATATCAAGTTATACAAGCTTTGTTATAGGTCATGATTCACTGTAAATCTCTGCTCTTAAAGTGCGAATGAGATGTGAGAGCTATGGCAGAGGGCAAGATTTTCGATTTCACATCCATCATCCACTTTAGATCAACAGTATGCCTATTCTAGACCAGCATTAACCATCATGGTTTAGTTAGTGTCGAGCTAAGAGTACTGTCATTCTTCAGCAGTTACCTTGGGGGAACACTTGAAGTGCATGCCTGGCACAGGTAATGTTGTAACGTACATGGTCACGCATCTGTACAGATACAGAGTTCCCACGATAAAAAAGAACCGGCGACCGATTATGGCCCTGCAAACAGAGAGAAATCAGGAGCAGAGTCAGAGAAAATAACAGCTAGAGAAGGATCATAGGATAGGCCACATGGTTTAAGGATGTCAATGCTAAAGAAAACATTCTTGACTATTTAGTAGTCACAACAGGAGTTCAATTATTGTGACTCGGCTGTTTAAGAGATGACGCCATGAACTAAATTGAACAAGATGGGATCAGCTTCGAGGGATAAAGCAGTGGTTCTTAACAGGGGCCCACTAGGTAGTAGGTAGCCTCAGCAAACTTCCAGACAAAGATGACTTACATTTTTTTTTTAAATAACACAAAAGGCTAACATAAACAGCATAACATAGATTTCTCAGTTTCAACTCCAAATTAACCTGCTTTTTACTCTTTATTTTTTTACCTGCCATTGTATGATATCACCAGAAGAGTTAAAATTATTTAAGTATTTAAAATAACACAAAAGGCTAACATAAATAACATAAAAAAGGCTTTAAAAGCCAAAACAACTAAATATCAAGATATTTTTCTTATTTTAATTCTCTCTCTTGTGTGTGTGTGCCTGTAAAGTTAAGGCCCTAATACACTTTAAGCAAAATCAAAAAACGAACTGAAGTGATTTCGAACAAAATCAGGCCAAAATGAAGTTTGTTTTGAGAGTTCGAAATAGCTTGGTGTTCGCTCCAGCTGGTTAACACCACCTTACTAATTCCATTGGTCTGTTGCGATAACGTAATAGGTAAAAGTGCTCTGAGGCTCCGCCTTCTTTTACATGGACATCTTCTCCAGTTTATTTCTTCTGTTCAGTCCGTCAAGGTCAGATGTCCGCATGTAAAAACATGAACTGGAACTGTCTTACACGACTACGTTCCCAAACAGCAGGCATGATCTGCCTCCGAAAGCAAGATAACATGACATAAATAACAATAACACGTTTTATGCGATATTCCAATTTTGCAAAAGAAAAAGAAAGAGAAAAAGAACTTCAACGTGAGTATATCGGGGGCCTTTATGTTTGTGAGGGCCAGTTTGACTTTTCAACATCAGAGTGAGGACAAAGTAAAGTGAGGACCTTTCCTCACTTTCTGACACTTTTAAATGGCTGTTTGAGGGTTAAGACTTGGTTATAGGGATAGGGTTAGAATTAGGTTAAGGTTAGGATTAGGCATTTAGTTGTGATGGTTAAGGTTAGGTTAAAGGGCTAAGGGTTTCATTATTTCAATGAATGTCCTTGCAAAGATAGCCATAAAAATGACTGGAAAAGTCATGTAGGTTCATGGGTTAAAAAGAGTGGGATCAAAAAAAAAATAATAATCGTGTAATTATTTTAATTGCAATTTTTATAATTATTTTAATTACTTTTTTATTAACATATACTAGAACTGTCCATAGATTAAAATAAGTTTAAAAAACAAAAAACAAAAAAACAAACAGGGGGCCTTAGAATATTAATGTGGACAATGCGGCTCCTTGGAATCAAAGAGGTTGAAAACCACTAGTATAATGAGTAAGGAACCAACCTGTGTTTAAGCAGAAGCCACTGTGCAAACCACAGTCCCACGAGCAGCATGCCATTGATCTCACAGATGGAAAACGCCCACTCCACGCGATCAAACAGATCAAAGAATTTATCTGGCAGGGGCGGGGACTCCTCCTTAGGTGGGACGCGTTCGTGCACCACTGAGATCACAACTGTTGTTGTGAGGAAGCAACACAGAGCGTACAGGAAGGCCACACCTGTTTTGAACCACTCCGTGGGATACGGCGTTCGCTCCTGCTCAGACAGAGACGGAATCAAGATACGAACTGCATCAGAGTGCAAGCTGTTCTTTGAAAAGCCGTTGAGGATCTTGCCGTTGCTAACACTGCCGTTGGCAAGGGCGCCGCTGACGTGTCCGTTGGCGTGGTGACTGTTTTCATGGTTGTTGCTCTTGTGTGCCTTCATGTGGCTGGTGAAGCGCAGCGTCTCTATGCGCTCCAAAAGTTGTCGACCACTGTCCCCGGTGACCAGGGACAAAGGCGAGGCGTTAAAGTCTTCCTCAGAGAGTTGCAAGAGGGCAGGGCCGTCCTTGTTCCGCAACGCATCCGTGTACTCCTGCATGCCCTCATCTGTCAGCCAATCGGAGACGTCACTGGCTGTCCACAACCTCACCTCCTTCATGTCTGGGTGAGAGAGAGTAGGGGGGCCGTTTCAGGGGCTGGGGAGGGGAGTTGAGCCCACACTCAGCAGTTTGGTGCCCCGACAGCAGTCATAGCGTCTCTGGGACATTGGAAGAGAGTAGCTGGGAGGTACAGTTTTTCACCCCCTCCACCTCTACGGTGATAAACTCAGTAATGGCAAAGTCTGACAAATTTCATAGTCTCAAGGGTGCTGAATCCCTTAGGTGTCAGTGTGCACCAATGTATGGCCCTGAAAAAGAAAAGCACATTCAAGTTAGTTAACAGATTGTGATGTATACCGAAAAAGCAATTATCTGCCCTAGCAGTAATAAAAAAAACATAATATTTGCTGCCAATTATGTAGACATTTGTCTGTGTATATCAAGAGCAGGCATCCTGTTCACCAACAGTAACTGTGGCATAACATGGCCAAAAAACAACAAAAAACCCTTCATTATAAAACCCGCCATTACTCCAGTCTTCGGTCACACGATCCTTTAAAAGTCATTAAAATTTTGTGATCTGGAGCTCAAGAATCATTTCCTAATATTATCAATGTTGAAAACAGTTGAGCGGCTTAATATTATTGTGGAAACCTTGATACATTTTTTCAGGATTCTTTGATAAACAGAAAGATCAAAATGACAGCATTTATTTTTAAAGCTACACTGTGTAACTTTTTAGTTTATTCTTAGCTAAAAACACTTAGTTCTTTCAAAAATATATGTGCTCATTAATGTATATTTACTTCGTTCAAGTAATAAAGTATTCTCGTGAGTGTATAATATGCCATTGAAAATACATACGGGTAAGGGGTTCTAATGTCGGTCGCCATGTTGCCCCTCCATCTTGAAAGTACATTAGGCAAAGAGGGACATATCGCGTTTTAACACTCGATGGCACCGTGTCGAATGTCAAGAGGGGGATTGCTTGAGACTGATTTATAAAAACCTGAAAGCCTTTTTGAAAGTCTTTTGCTGATGGAGGATCACTCTTATTCTCGAGGATACGTATCAGAGTCGCCAAGGAAGCGAAAAAGAGAATTAAGACGGCAACGCAACAGGCAAATCAACAAGACAAAAGTAAATATTGAAGTGGCTTTTTTAAGATGGAAAGAGCTCATGACGAGCAACGATTTTAAAAAGGACGCCGACGTTGCCTGCTTTCTTCTCGACAGGTAACGTTAATTAATCTTGGACTACATTGGCCACCGTAGGAGTTAAAACGAAATCGGAATTGAGAGGAACAGAAACTAATATTCACTGGATGGTCATATACCTTTTCACCGCTAGATGGGGGTAAAAATCACACAGTGTAGCTTTAAGTATAAATATTTAGTAACATTATAAATGTCTTTACAGTAACTTTTGGTCAATTTAATGCATACATGCTAAATAAAAGTAATACTTTTAAAATACTTTTGTACATATGTAAATATTTTACAAATATACTGTTTTAATACTTATAACCAATAGTTCATAATGATTCATGGGATGTGTCATTCCTTGACTCATAAAATAAGTCAAGGTTCGAAGCTGCAGAAAATAGAAACATGAATTGGAAAGAAAATGTCTTCTCATATATCAGTAGGCCCATTAAGTGTAGCTAATTTTAGAGCTGTACAAACTTTATTTAAAAATCTATATTTTCAGCTTTAACTATGCATGTATGTTGACAGAGCATACAGCTAGATATTATATTACTTGTTACGCAACAATACGCCACATACCCCCTTAATGTTCTGGAATGCGGATAATGACTTCTACTTGCCAAACTATAACTTGTATGTGTGCGTAATTGAGCATAAACAATACAAAGAGCAAACAAACTTAGAGAGAGAGAGAGAGAGAGAGAGAGATAGAGAGAGATTAAAAGTCTCTGACTCAACATTATGTCTGGAAGACCGTTGGTTATTAAATCAGCTTAGGGGAAAAACACTCACACACACAAAGAATAACCAGTCAGCATTAAGAAACAACAACAACAACAACAAGTAAATAGCAACTTGGAAATTATGCCAAATAACCACAGGACATTTGTCAGATGACTAGCCAACCATTAGCTTTTATCCTTTTAGCAGCGATAGGAATCGGTGTTGCTCTTAGTGAACTGACCTGTGGGTAAAAGCTGATTTAGGGTTTCATTTCCCACCGAATGTATTCTTGTTTTATTCGAAATGTTTTAGTTTCATTTTTTTAAAGTTCTCTAAACTTTATGATGTCGCTAAACCGGTTCTGCCAGATTCATCAGCTCATCTTGTTTCCTTATTTTTTGTGTTACATCACATCGTGTTCATTAGAAATACAAGTGAACTTGTGATGCGCATTAACAGTGCTAAAACACTTCCTTCCTTGAAATATCTTTTTGGATTTTAAAAGTTACATTTTAACTTAGGCTGTTAACCTTGTTAAATAACAAGAGGACAATTTGCGGCATCATTTTGTTAGAGAACAAGGGTCACTTGAGCAAGTTCAACAACTCTGTTACATAAACATTCTTAAATTTCCGTTCATATGGCTCGATCTGTTTCGCCAACTCACTCACACTAATATATATTAGCCAACAATTAACTTGTAAATGTCTTTATAGCCTCTCTGGTAACACTTTACAATAAAGTCTCATTTGTTGATGCATTAACTAACATGAACTAACAATGAGCAATATATTCTTACAGCATTTATTAACCTTTGTTAATGTTAGCTAATAAAAATGTTCATGTAAGTTTACAGTGCATTAACTAATGTTAACAGATACAACAGTTTTGACAGTTGAGATTAACAACTAAGGATAATACATGCTGCAGAAGTATTGTTCATTGTTAGTTCATGTTAAAGCTGCAGTCCGCAGTTTTTCCTCTTTGTCGCCATCTCTGTTCGAAATCTGCAATTGCAGTCATTCGCGGAATTATCAACTCTACGTGAGTTGTACTTCGACACCCTCGACACGGCACAGCGCGGATGAACACAATGTTTGAGGAGAGTGTGCAGAGTGTGTCACCGAACCGGTGTGGATACTGTCATTCAGAATCACAGATTATTCTTTTTGGAAGTATGACCAACATAATAATTTTCACCGGAAAATGTCATCTGAACAAGTAAGTAACATCCACTTTTGTTCTGGTTCTGACATTGCAGTAAATCGCGCTGATTAAATCTAAAAATCACTTATCATCACGCAAAATCGTGCAAATTATACTTTGTTCTCAAATTGTTAATGTTAACAACGTCAGCATTGCGTGACTACATGTAATGTCCTTCTGATATGTATCCTTGTTTTCGCATGGTCCGGTTGCAGTCTCTTTTTTTCTGTAGCCACTCTGAAGTCCGAACGAAGTCTTTTGCATTTTACAGCGGGTGAATCTGTTGTCACTGGTAGGGGAGACCGAGTGTGTCTGCAAGCGAGAGAGACCGCGCGCGAGCGACAGAGCACGAGAGAGACCGAGTGTGTCTGCGCGCGCGAGCGACAGAGCAAGAGAGAGACCGAGTGTGTCTGCGCGCGAGAGAGACCGAGTGTGTCTGCGCGCACGAGCGACAGAGCACGAGAGAGACCGAGTGTGTCTGCGCGCGAGAGAGACCGAGTGTGTCTGCGCGCGAGAGAGACCGAGCGTGTCTGCGCGCGAGAGAGACCGAGCGTGTCTGCGCGCGAGAGAGACCGAGCGTGTCTGCGCGCGAGAGAGACCGAGCGTGTCTGCGCGCGAGAGAGACCGAGCGTGTCTGCGCGCGAGAGAGACCGAGCGTGTCTGCGCGCGAGAGAGACCGAGCGTGTCTGCGCGCGAGAGAGACCGAGCGTGTCTGCGCGCGAGAGAGACCGAGCGTGTCTGCGCGCGAGAGAGACCGAGCGTGTCTGCGCGCGAGAGAGACCGAGCGTGTCTGCGCGCGAGAGAGACCGAGCGTGTCTGCGCGCGAGAGAGACCGAGCGTGTCTGCGCGCGAGAGAGACCGAGCGTGTCTGCGCGCGAGAGAGACCGAGCGTGTCTGCGCGCGAGAGAGACCGAGAGTGTCTGCGCGCGAGAGAGACCGAGAGTGTCTGCGCGCGAGAGAGACCGAGAGTGTCTGCGCGCGAGAGAGACCGAGAGTGTCTGCGCGCGAGAGAGACCGAGAGTGTCTGCGCGCGAGAGAGACCGAGAGTGTCTGCGCGCGAGAGAGACCGAGAGTGTCTGCGCGCGAGAGAGACCGAGAGTGTCTGCGCGCGAGAGAGACCGAGAGTGTCTGCGCGCGAGAGAGACCGAGAGTGTCTGCGCGCGAGAGAGACCGAGAGTGTCTGCGCGCGAGAGAGACCGAGAGTGTCTAATGGACTCTAGTAATCAATGGACTCTAGTAATCAGTAGGCTACTACAAACGTCTTGTTTTAAACTATTGTTAAATAAATAGAAATAATTCGAGCACATAAACTTTCATATGGAGGATTAAATAAGATTCAATTTATGCAAGATTTCACAACTAATCACTGACACTATACCACAACCAGGTTTTAAGTTTCTTAAGCATCAAATAACAATGACTCTGAATTTTATCCATTAATCGAACTTCCATAGTGCATAGTTCTGCCTTAAATTTTCTCATTTGGTTACATTCTGTTATGGAAAATTAATTTTCTATTGATTGTAGGCCTATATTTTGAGTTGTATTCACATCCATTTTCCTGTAAAGATATCGAGATATATATCGAATATCGAGATATAGCAAAATATATCGAGATATATTTTTTGCTCCATATCGCCCAGCCCTAGTCACTGGTGATTGTCGTTTGAACTTTTCTGGATCCGTCATCAAATTGATAAGTTTAATCATATCAAGTGCTGTGAGAAAAGGCTATAAATCTCCACCTCCAACATCCTCACACGCAATATAGCTTATACTAGCCGAGACTCCTTCTTTATGTGTACAGATGTGACGTAATGACACAAAGACCTGCTCGAATCTCCCGTGGAAATCCACCAGTACCACTGGAATTAAAAACATTATTACAAGCTTACCGCTTTGAATCGAGCTAAGGCAACCAGATAGCATTGAACACTGGCTGGTTATGTATTTTCTCAAATATGTATTTTGGATCATTTTTAACCCCAAAAAGCTACGGACTGCAGCTTTAACTAATGTTAACAAATGAAACTTGTAAGGTAACAAATTAAGTGTTACTGCCTCTCTACTTGACATTTTCCATTCAATAGTCCAAAAACAATGCATTTATATTCAATACAATTAATTATTTACAAGTGTAATTACAGTTTTTTCCAGTAAGTTATCAGCAG